TTTTCCACGTTCCAGTCGATGAAAGATGTACCAAATATTTAGCATTTAATTTGTCATGCATGTTTATTTGAATTTTTAAGAGCACCGTTTGGTTTGACTACAAGTCCTAGTGTATTTTTAAGATTTATCTATAATGTATTCAGGGAATTAATAAGGGATAATACAGTTGTAATTTACATGGATGATTTTATCATGCCTTCCCGTGATGAAAAAGAGGCATTAGAAAAACTTAAACGAGTTTTAAAAGTAGCTTTAGAATATGGACTAGAAATTAATTTTAAAAAATGTCAATTCCTTAAAAGAAAATTTGAATTTTTCGGTTATTTAATTGAAGAAGGTACAATTCGTCCATCTCCAAATAAGACCCTTGCAGTTAAAAATTTTCCTCAACCTAAGAACGTTAAGCAGTTGCAAAGCTCCCTAGGTCTCGCAGGCTATTTTAGAAAATTTGTACCTGGTTATTCGAAAATAGCCAAACCATTGAGTGATATGCTTCGCAACGGTGTAGAATTTGAATTTGGGTCAAGACAGAAGCAGGCATTTGACTACCTTAAAGAACTTTTGAGCAAAAGTCCTGTACTTAACATCTTTCAGCAGGGAAAACCTTTGGAATTACGCACGGATGCTAGTAATCATGGTTTCGGTGCAGTTTTGCTTCAACGCACAGATGATGGACAGCTGCATCCCATCCATTACATGAGCAAGAAAACATCACCTCAACAAGAAAAAATGTCAAGTTCTGAACTCGAAGTGCTAGCGATCGTCGAAGCCTTGAAAAAATTTCGAAGTTATCTCTTAGGCACAAAAATCAAAATAGTCACAGACTGCGATACATTTCAGAAGACAATGCAGAAAAAAGATCTGACACCAAAGATAGCTAAATGGACACTGCTACTCGAAGAGTTCGAATATGAAGTTATCCACAGACCCCCATCAACAAATGAGACATGTCGACGCATTAAGTAGGCATGTGTGCATGGTCACTCATTCGCAAAGTGAAATCACTACTAAGATCGCAACAGCGCAACAGGCTGAGCGTCTTCAATTATTGAAAACTCTGGTCGAGAAAGGACTTAGAGATGATTATCTTCTAAAAGATAATGTGTTGTATCTGCAGGAGAGAGGTCGAGAACTCATCGTTGTGCCGGAAGCGATGGAATTCGAGATCATCCGTGGCATACATACAAAGGACACTTCGCTGTACAAAAGACAGAAGATCTGTTGAAAAGAGATTTTCATATTTCGAATGCTACAAAGAAAATAGAGCACGTTATAATGAACTGTGTCGAGTGCATCCTCTGTAATAAAAAGCGAGGCAGAGCAGAAGGTCTATTGAACCCAATCCCAAAGGACAATATTCCGTTAAGCACATATCACATAGATTTTGTAGGACCCCTGACATCTACAGATAAGAGATACCAACATATATTTACAGTGGTAGATGCTTTTACAAAATTTGTCTGGTTTTACCCAGTCAAGACAACATCAATGGCAGAAGCTGTACAGAAACTAAAAATCCAACAAGCTGTCTTCGGAAATCCTTCAAGAATTATCTCTGGCAACGTATCTGCTTTCACTTCAAAGGACTTTGAGGAATACTGTAAAGATGAAGGAATTCAGCACATACAAATCACAGCAGGCGTTCCAAGATACAACGGCCAGATCGAAAGAGTTCATGGAACCCTTATCCCAGTGCTTGCAAAACTGTCAGTTGATGATCCTGCCAAATGGTTGAAATTTGTGCCTGACGTCCAAAGAATCATCAACAGCACCGTCAGCAGATCAACGAAATTCACTCCTTTCGAGCTGATGACAGGCATGAAAATGAGAAATAAGGCAGACCAAAGAATTAAGGAAATTCTCGATGAAGAATTCCTGAACTCCACAATCCAGGAGAAAGAAAGTATATCATCGTAAAGAGGCCCTAAAGCGAAGTATCTTAAAAACTGCAGGAGGAGAACCGACGACAATACAATCGACGTCGTAGAACCGCTCCACTCTACAAAGTCAAAGACCTAGTAGCCATTAAAAGAACTCAGTTAGGAGGCGGTCTCAAGCTAAGACCTAAATTCTTAGGACCTTATAAAGTGATCAAGATTAAGCCACATGATCGATACGATGTAGCCAAAGTAGGATCTCATGAAGGACCTGAAGCAACTTCCACTTCGGCAGACCATATGAAGCTTTGGTATGATGACATCGCAACTTGAGATCATTTTGGAAACTATTTTTCAAATGTTTCTTTTTTTTTTTTTTCCTATTTTGTGTTTTACAGATGTATTCAAGTTTTCGAATGTATTCAAGTGTTCGGAGGTCCTCACCTGTCGATGGCCGAGCGTGTAGAAATCGTGCCTCAACGAAGCACCAGATGTCGCTATCTACCTCTACTCTGTAGGAACTCTCCAGGTAGACACAACTACACTTGGTTGGAGACGTCCGAGAGAAGCGGCCTAACAGAACATTCGCGAAGGAGCTACAACTAGACGCTTACTGGTCGCGCGTAGGCGATCGGACTTGGTACTTATCTAAAGTGACCGCACGTAGGTGGTCAGCTGTGACTTTTACATCTCCATACTGGAACCAGTGTTGCTATTACTCTCCTAAACATATTTAATCTATTTGTACATACTCATTTCGGCCCACCAGCGGCCGAGCGGTAAAGTCTCTGAACACTGGTAGTTCGGTCCGAGGTTCGAATCCCGCGAACGGGCTGGCTGCATGGGCGTTTTCGTGGTTTACCCCATTTGTAACGTGTATATGAGCCAGTTTCCCTTAGAAAGTCCTCCACGAAGGCATTCCTCCTCTTAGGCAGATAGCCCTCGAGGCTTTGCCATAATCGCACCCACACACATACTCATTTCGTTTATCTTTTCTTCTATAAACCAGGAATAAAAAAACCTGATATTTTGAATCGTCAGTGTGATCTCTGTTTGATGATAAGACGTCACCCTCACATATGCTTTCTGAAAATTTTATTTCATTTACCAACATTATAATAAAATATTATTAATGTCTTTTATTATTTGAAGAATTATATTTCAATTCTGCAGTTGATTGTAAAACATACATTTTTAACTTAAAGTATTTCTTTCTGGATATGTCTTAGTGTGAGAGTTAATTCTTAAACTTGGAGTTCTTTTAGGTTATCTAAATTTATTATAAATGAGGTTTATTTAGTTTTAAGGGAATCTGCAGCAAGTTTCATAAAACTATGTGACAATCATATCTCTGATTTTAGTTTCATCGACATTTCTATCAAACTGAGAATTTGTCGATTTTTAAACGTAGGATTACGTTCCTTCATAATGGTCTGATGCGAAAGCAAAAACCAAGACGCTGTTTGAAATGTTCGCGAATAATCATATCTTCGAAACCGCACATATTACAGTCAATCTAAAGGCATCATTTGATAGATGAAATCGCATATTAGCAAACACACAATTAAATTGAAAGAAAGATATACGTATAATAACGCATCAAATATAGCGAAATTTTGGTGAAGTTCCGTGCGCATGCGCTGCCGCGCGTGCGTGGCAAAGTCGTCAGGTAGACAATAGCACATGTACACTAATTTTTTTTTTTTTTTAATGTCCGGCCTCTTTATTTAAAAGCCATTCCCTTGCGCCACTACAATGGTCAAGGGTATGACTTTCCCTCTAAAGCAATCTCCAATGGAAATACCTAAAAACAAGGGCCAGAAGTATTGGTCGTTTCATTAAGGAAGCACCTAAAAAGTAACCGCCGTTACTTCCTATGAACGGAGAGACAGTTACAACCATGCCTTGTCCGGGATTCAATCCCTGCCTCATGGCTACAGCAGTCAGGGTCACTAACTACTTTGTCGGCCGGACAGCAGACTGTCATTGTGTTTGCTGTATTTTATTTTTGTTCGTCAAGCTAATGGTGTTACTGTTATAGAAATTTGACGAGTGTAGCAAATTGCGTAGCAAAAGATATATTGCTAAGCAGCGTAAGAGACTATAGGATTCAGAAGCAGGCGATATTTGTATGGTTGATGTAATTATTAATGGACAGTCAAGATTAATTCTAGCATTCGCATATATTCATCCCACCGTTAATTCAGGAAATTTTCAAGATGTTATTATTTAGTGCATTGATGAAATATGAGATTTTAATGAAGTTGGGATATTATGGTGGAGGATTTCTGTGTAGGCTTCAAATGAAATGAAAAGGCATTTTATTTTATGAAGCATCACTTTAACCTCAATATGATAGTTAATTATAATATATTTTAAGTAACTATCCAAGTACTGTAGAGTCATTAGGTTAGTTGAAGCAGGAGATGTGAAAAATGTGCAGTGCCCTGGCCTGGAATCGAATCTGGACCTCTCAAATATTTGCCGAATGTGCTAATCCTTACGCGACGAACGCATGCAGAAAGAAGTAAGAAAATGCTCCCTAGAAAGGCGAGTGGGAATTAGTGGACCCAGTCAATAAATCCTGGTGGTGAAGAATCACCATCCACAACCTTTCTTATTTCAGACCCCACTGTAGAGTCATTAAGAGAAAATAAATGCTTTTTTTGAAGCAGGGGACGCGAAAAATGCGCAATGCCCTCACAGGAACTCGAACTTGGATCTCTCGAATATGCGCCGAGTGTGCTAAACGTTACACCACGAAGGCATTCAGTAAGGAGGGAGAAAATAGTACCCTTGGCAATTCGTTTATAGATTTAATATTTACTAGGAATATAACTACAGGCATTTTAAATTATGTATTTTATTTCTCATATCATCAAACAATTGTACATAATGTTAAATGTTTTAATTTAATGTTTGCTTGCACATATATTATACTTTTGCTAAAATTATTCCATCTTATAATTTTCTGCAACTATAACAAATGTCATTTACTTCATGTTTGTTTCTTAACACCTAGAAGACGCGTTACCATTTTTTAGATTACATAAACGTATAAAAGTATATCATATATTTGTTGTTGCCAATCGACGATAGATAAGCTTTTGCTTTTATTTTCAGTGATATAGAAGCGAATTGATCGGTCCATGGATGGATGAAATGGATTGTGGGGTTCACGTCGTGAAATCTTCCAAGTTCATAATGCGCCAACTATGTGGGAAAAAGAATCTACTTTAGAAGTTATTCGGTTTAATCTACATATTAATTAAAATTTTTATATGGACTTTTAATAATATTTCTCAACAAATGCTATTTGATGAGATGGATATCATAAATAAAATACTCCTCCAAACAGCCTATAAAAGATTGATTATAAAATTTAAAATTTGTGCTCAACAACTTGTACAACTAAAATAATATCAAATGAATGTGAAAGAATTTTATAGCGCATGCCTTACAGATTTCTGTGCCTATTTCTTCTTTTTTAATTTTATTCCAACGATATTATAATAGTAGTAATCTACTTAATAAGACGACATGTGTTGCATTGTGATGTTATTTTTAATTAAATCGGAAAGGATCAAGATAACAGTAACAAATAAATTTTACGCATATGATAACATTCGTCCTTATGCTATGTTACTAGGAATATTTTCGTCTTAATTCTCTATGTTCGTATGAAAGTTTTTGCAAACAACAAAAAATAACTCTTAAAATTTTATCTTGAAACTTACAAAACTTTCTTTTCATTAAAATAAAGTATGAAAAAATGTTCAGAATACGCATATGCATATATGAATGTATCCAAAATTCTCCCCGTTTGTGAAAATAGGCCAAACAGTTGCGAAAATTTCATTCTGAGTAACCTGTTTGGCAAGATTTTTTTTAAATCTTTTTATTCAACCCCTCACCGAGAACTGTTACATTATACACTGTTTTTTCAGTATCCAAGCTCTGCAACTGCAAGGAACTTCATTTTTTAAGCTGTGAAAGCATAATTATTTCTATCCCGGAAGTATTACAAAGGTAAGTCTTTTCTATTTTGCGTTTTCTTTCTTAATTTTGAAGCTTCATTTCTAAACGGTGAACTGAAAAATCCATGTAAGGAATACGCCAAACGCGTTGAATATCTAAACAAAATAGTAATAAATAGATCAGTGAGGAATAAATATGAATATAATGGAATCAAAATTTCAAAATATTTGACCATATACAGGAGAAAATATATGCTGATTGTAAAATATATATTTCAGGTGTACAGGAAAAAAAATGCTTGAGGAATCACTTCAATACTTTTAAGCAGAAATAAGTATAACAAATTCAATTTCCGTTAAAATATTTTCCAAAACTCACTTAACTATATATCTGTAATATATTGCACTGGTTTCGAGAAATCATAAAATTAGAGTATAGAAGAAGGCTATAAAAGCACGCACTAAATTTGTAGAAACAGAGAGATGACTAGTTATTTTGTTACTTCTATATCAACTGATTTTGTATACTGCACCTGATATGGAAATTTTCCTCTGCCAGTATTTCAATAAATTTCTTTCTTTTATTTGTAATTTCAATACGGTCATTAGCAAATAAATCAATCACAATAATCAAATAATTTTACCTTCTCTAACACTGTTAACTAATCGCAGCATATATTTATTTGTTTATGGGAAAGCACTCTAGGATTATCTGACTAAGAGAAGGAAGGTCTTCGTGGAGGACTTTCGAAGAGAAACTAGGGCGTATACAATTTACAAATGCGGGAAACCACGAAAACGCCCATTAGCTGGGATTTGAACCCCGAACCGAACTACCAGTGCTCAGTGAACTTATTGCTCAACTACTGGTGGGCCTTGGAACATATGAAATATATCTCTATTAAAATGTGCCGAAATGCAAATTAGGCATGTGCCCTCAGTTAAATTTACAAAAAACTCAAAATTAGAATATTATTAATTAAATACTAATAAAGTAATTAAAAAGTATCTAGATATCGCTGTCTCAAGATTATAGTTTCTGGAATTAAAACATGTTTTCACAACTTTCGGCTGCCTTATTTACAAAAGGGCCTGTTAGTTTGTTAGTAATCTGAATATAGTAATATGCACAAGAGTTATCTGCTTAAGTCTATCTAAGATGCTTTCTTGAGAATTTTTTTAAGTTAAACCGACTCCTGATAAACATGAAAACTACCACGAAAATAAATCATGCAACAAGCTGTTTTGACTGGATTCAAACCCGGACTGAACTACTAATATTAAGTGGTCTTAATCTTTCGGCTATTAGTGGAAAGTAATCCAAACCGAAATTCTACTATTTTTTTCAAACGTTATTGAAGTATACTGACCAAATTATTGCATAATGTTAAATCTGTGAGTGATGTATTTAAGATTACATTGATTCTTTTATTTGTTAAATTGTGGAATAAACCTTTGCAATTTATTTTCTTATTTCATTATATTTTGTGCTATACTTTATAAGGTTATACTTGTTCTGATACTGGTAACTTTAGACCTACTTTCTTACTAGACAGTAACGAGTTATCGCTGTGTCTGAAAATAGTATAATAGAGACTTGCAAAGGTTTAAATAATCATTTTATTAGGCTGAACTTTTAACAAAATAGGGCACGGCTCGTGCTACTGATAACCACCACTTGTGGCATTGCTTATTAAATAATAACAGCCAAATAAATTTAAACGTTGTTTAGCAGTCTAAAACTGCAGAATTAAATAAATCAGTTGGCTCCAATAATTTACGAGAGCTTAATTTTAAATTATCAGCAGCAAGAGAACACAAAAACGAGATAATTATATTTAGCTTGAACTGGCAGAATTTTAAAACCCTACGCGAGTGGCAGAAACTCTCTGTCTGATAAAATCCAAACATCCTCAATTTAAATATATTATAAACTAATTTGCATTCTGGCGAGGAATACGAATATATGTTAAAGCAAAACTCAAAATCATAATAACTGACTAGTTTAACATAGCAACCTTACAACTTACTTATTTTATGCTTACGACATTAAAATTGTTATTTTTCTTATCGTGAAAATATATCTAAGACTAATTGTTAAACAGTGAAAAAAATCATTGTGTACCTGCATACGTAAAACATGCGATTCAAATTGCCTTTTAATACAAAAATCGTGCAAATATCTGCCAAGTTTTTCAGTTAGCTATATTTTAAACCCTAGACATTTAAACCTAACACTAGTAATATATATTATTATAAACGAAAGAAAATGTAAATGTAATTAAGAAGTATATTTAAAATATCCCAGTAAATTAAATATGGGTGCCACCAACAGTCTAGAGCAGAGTTTCTTAAACGTTTTTCAGTCGCGACCTCTTTCTATCACTGAGAACTTTTCGTGTAATTTTAAGACATAGAACAATGTGAAAATTTTAAATAAGTAACAGACGAAATGACTGCTTCACGTGCAAAGCAAGGAAAATAAACGTTTATATTATAAAAAAAATGCGTCGAAACGTTTTCGTTTTTTCCTTTGTCTGTATTGTTTTATCTTTATCTATTTTCAGATGTATTGTATAAAAATATTTGGTAATCGTAAAATTATTATAATAAGTTAAAGAATATCAAAACTGCTAAAATTTTTCTAGACTCCCTGATGCAGTTCCCGTGACTCTCTTGGGAGTTGCGACCCACAGTTTAAGAAATCCTGATCTAGGGAATAAAACTGAACACTGATGGGTAAAATTACCAGTGTTCAGCAGTTTCTAAAGAAAGGGTAAGCTGTAGAGACAGTTTCTTATTTGTTTTCTTTATTTGTAACATGAATTCGAGACAGTTGTCCCATTGAAAGGCATTTACAAAGGTATAATTTCCCTTAAGCATATTAACAAAATCAATAAATGATCGCTAACCAATACATTGGTTAAGTTTGAAAGCTAAGATAACGTTATTACGGAAGATAGAGTGGCAAAACCTGTGGAAAATGAATGTTTTCCAGATCGCATCGATGACAAGTGAAAAATCTCATGTTTTCCATGTAAGTGCTAAAGCTTCCATAAAAATTAATTTTTTTCTGCGTAGTTTTTGTGAATTTCCTAAATAAAATCTTATTGCAAAGTTTAACATCGTCAAACATTGAAATTTATTCAGGATCTTAAATTCCTATTTTGCAGTCAAATCATACTTCGAATTGTTCTGAAATCAAAGCCTATAACTAAATGGCATTTCAAGCACTCAGAATTTATAATATGCTTTGAATTGCTTCGAAATGAATAGGGTGAACAGCATTTCAGGAAGTCGGAATCTTCTGTCAGCAAAAAATTATCAATCATTCGCGAACTAAATACTTCATTGCAGTCACGTTCGTAAAGTGACAACATCATTCAGTTCACTGCATGAGAAACACAGGTTTTCCATTTGTCTTAATGGTTGCGAAGAGCTTACGGGAGAAGTTATCACGAGCGTTAAAAGCGTTTTATCTCTTTCGAATACATCAGCCAATTCATGAATAAAATGGAAGATAAACATGTTTGAAAGAAAGGAAGAAATCTGAATTCCTGTCTATTATTTGAGAATTTCTAAAAATGGTCTTAACGATGGTTTAGTATTTTATCACCGACTCTAATTTTACTTATTTTAATGGCATCATTATATTGAAAGTGTTTTGAAAGGAATACATCCAATAATGCTGAAAAGAAGATTACGATAAATTTTAAATACAGTAACTTTTTTCACCGGAAGCGATCATCGATTACCTTGTTTCTTCTTGAATATATATATTCATTACTATATTGAGGAATAAGTAAATGCGCTAAACTTGTAAAACCAGAATATTTTTTCTTAAAGAATTTCCGTATTTTGAAGTAAATGGGAATAATTTTCTTTATGCTGGATTGTTATGGAGAATAATTAGTCACACTCTGAATTTAGTGATAAGAACATGAGATTCTGTAATGAAAATAACCATTTTTATTCAAATATTCTACAATATTTACGAATTTACGAATCTATAATTTACGAATTGACTCAAATATTCGTTAAAGTATGGCCTTTTTTGTTGCTCTGTTTTCTTATATGTATGCATCTAATGTAAATGTTTAAATGAATTATAAACATTTAAATATTATATAAGTATTTAAATATATTTCATTGCTTCATTCTTTAGAGGTTAATATATAAGGTACTTCTTCCGCGTTCTTAGCATGCCTTCGTGGTGTAGTGGTCAGCACGCTCGACGCGTATTCGAGAAGTCTCGGTAAGTCCCGGCGAGGGCATTGCTTATTTTTCATAAAATCAAACATAATGTCTCTAATGCTTCGAAATAACATAATGTCTCTAATGCTTCGAAATAACATAATGTCTCTAATGCTTCGAAATAACATAATGTCTCTACAAATATGCTTTTTGTTACGAAGGAAACTGATTTCAATACGTAGTATGCAAAGTTAATGACCTATAAAATTTATGTTCAAATATTATTTCTAAATAATGTTTCGAACATTTTCATTGTTTGATTACATCAATTTAAATTAGTATTTTAATAAAAGAATTCTTCGGATATTACTACATTACTAGTTACAAACTAGAAGTATAGTTATTAATTTTTCTAATAACCTTTTAAAAAGTGCATTTTATTCTTATATTAAAATTTTACGATTCAATAGGGAAATTTGTCAGTCAGAACGTGCGTTGGAAATATCGAGGAGAAAAGAATCATAGAGAAAACAACCCAAAGTGAAACATTGTGGTAGGCGGGAAAACCATCACTAAAAATAAAATAGTTACAAAATTTTGTTATATAAAAGATAATAGAAAGAAGCAAAGCAGCTAAAACCACTGCAAAAGTATAATTTTAGGCATCTGAGACGAATAAACATCGAGATTAAAAGGTACTGGTGAATAATTTCCAAGTGCTAAAATAAACTATATATAAACTTCATAAAAAACTCTGATTTACATTTTCTCTATAATTAAAACACAGTGCACATTTTCGCAGTGACAACTTCCCAAGATGAACGCGTCTAAACATAAGCATTATTTCGCAGAAAACAAATAACATTTTTATTTAACATCACCTCCCTAAGATAAAACTTCATAGACCAAAAACCCTTTCAAAAGTATGAGAATGATCGTCTTTGAGATAGTTTGCCACTTTCAAAATAATACTGCATTCTCAATTTGAACGTCTTCGACGCATAAAATGCATATTTCTGCGATCTTTTTGCCACTCGATATTTTGTAGCTTTTTGTATTTTTTACTAAAATGCTTTGTATGACGAGGATTCTAAACTGGAATACTCTATGACAATGCTTCGTAGCATGATGTCCTAAAACTGGCAAGCTTTCTCCTTGCTTTTTTTGCTAGGATATTTCCTCCTTGAGTTGTTTTCTCGGCGATACTTTCGTTAGAGATGTTTTTGCCTCGGTGTTTTCGCTGGTGCCGAATCTCGCCTATTTCTCTTTCCATAAAAGGAAAAATCATTTCATTTTTTTTTTAAGTACATGTATCTCTATCTACCAAAATGCATTCATATTTTCTATAAAACCAACGCTGATCTAAGTTTGCGTTTTCATAATCTTAATGTTCAGAGTAAAGCGCCTCTTTTGAATTTATTAAATTTCACGAATATTTATATACAACTACATCTGCAATGCATTTTACACGTTATACATGAGATCCTTCCAAATACAGAATTTTCACATTTAATATATTTGAAATATTTCAAATCCATTTCTGTAATAGAAGAGCATTGTTATTTCAAATAATAGAATTATAGAAAGAATATAAAAAAGAGGATGGCCACACATTTCTTCCTTCAATGGGGATTTTTGGACTATCACTTTAATAAAATAATTCAGTATCAACGGCCATGTCACACAAAAGGTATTACATTTACAAATGATGCAGCGTTTATAATGATTGGAAATTCAAGAGTAATTTTGGAAAATAATGTCAGTTTAAAAAAAAATTTAATAATTTCTGTAAAACTCAGAAACTCACAATATCACAAGAAATATCACCAACTATTATTTTCAGAAGCTGTCCCCAAAATAACAAGCTTTCCAAAATTTTTATATAAACAATTACAAAATTAAAATATTGAAATCTGTCAAATATCTGGGAATTATTATTAAAAATAAACTAAGTTGCATAGAACATCTTCAAGAAATCAAAAGAAAAAATTTCGTCATTGCGAAGAATTTAATAAAAAATATAAGACATTAGGTGGGAACTAAATCATCAAAAACGAAGTTTTATATACAATACAGTTATGGAAAAAATAGTATATAGTGCAGCAATTTGGGCTCATCCAATGAAAATATGAAAACAAAAACAACTATAATCTTACAAAGACTTTTTTCTCCTGAACTATTCCACAGGTTATCGAATAACTTCTTATCCTATCATGTACCAAATAATCGTATTGTTTTCCATTATTTATAACAGAAGTTCAAGGATCTACAAAAACTTCAATCCTATAACTACGAAAAATCGTAAATTCAACAATGAAGTAATAACTGCCAGTTCCTATGCTTCCCCAGCACATGCTTATATAAAGCATCCAGCCAATACAAATAACGCACAAAGTATGTTAAATTTCAAACCGTTTTTCCAAAAATATACACATGACTGGCTCCAACAATGGAAAAGCTGGTTGGTTTGGTTTATTGACATTGTGGCAAAGCACACTAGGGCTATCTGCCTAAGGGGAGGGATGCCTTCGTGGATGACTTTCTAAGGGAAACTGGCTCGTATACACGTTACACATGGAGAAAACCACGAAAACGCCTATGCAGTCAGCCCGTTCGTAGGATTCGAACCTCAGACCTAACTACCAGTGTTCAGCGACTTTACCGCTCGGCCGCTGGTGGGCCTAATGAAAAAGATCATGTATAATTAAAATATATTACAACGATGTAGAATAGCAAGATTTTTAAATACCAACTTATCAAAGGAAACTGTGTTTCTTAGTCAGAAATCTATACAGTTCTTGAAGCAGTACAGCAAAGCATTACCAATCATTTCTCAAATATATACAGGGTGTTATTATTAAAGTTACCTTATTTAGACTTATGCAAATCCCTTTATGGCAGACCTATTTTGTTGAAACTTTACATTATATGGACCATGGAGAAAAGCAAAATAGAATAATATTTCAAAAAATAATAATAATCAAAAACAATAATTAAAATTTTGTCCCCAGGTAAGAAGGCGCACGAAAAACAAAAAAAAACATGATTTTGAAACACAGAACTTTATTTAATCACAGCATTTGTTCAATGTGTGTTCCGCTTGTGTCAAGCAGTCGTTCGAAGCATATTATAGCATGTTCAGCTGCAGCACGAAGAATTTCTCGATCAACTTCAACAACATGACGTGTTATGCTTGCTTTCAATTTAGGCTTACTGCATATGCTTCTTCTACAGATACGATCTTTCAGGGAATTACAGAACCAGAAGTCACAGGAATTTAATTCCGGAGAACGAAGACGCCAGGAATTCGGGAAACTTCTTGAAATTTCCCCATCATCTCGAAATTGGGAATGAAGCACTGCCTCTACTGGTCCGGCAATGAGAGGTGGCGCACCATATTGCACCATATTGCATGAAGACAGTAATCTCTATACATTGTCGTTCTTGAAAGGCGGAAAATTCTTCCTGCTGAAGAAGTTTGAAGAAACGGACACCAGTGGACTTTTAAGAACTTTGACAAGTGTTCTTCTCAAAGAAAAGGGATCAAGAATGAAACCATCAGTAAAGCCGCACCATACAGTA